ATTCGAGAGTTAAGGATGGACTCGGAAATTTTTTAATCGGCCATTCAGAGACGGGACAAAATTCACCAGAGGAACAAACCTGTTGAATTTCGTTCAGTTTACTGAGGAAGCGAACTCTCGAAAGGCCTGCGAAAGTTTGTTCAGCCTTTACTAGAAATGAAACCTACTGATTAAAGGGCTTATTCGTTAAATATCAATGAAAATACCCAGAATACTAAGTTGGCCAATCAGTTTAGGTAGCATTATGTGGAGGCGAAGCCTTCGCCGTGCCTCCCCATCTCCAATCGGACTTACAAAACACAAAAACAAATTAAAAGTTGAGTCATCTTTCAATGGCATTCCAGCTGAACATCGGGAAACGACGTTTCCAGTGGAGATCGGATTTCCGACAGTGATCCGATTTTTTGTTCCCAATTCACCTCCTCCCCCGCCAACTTTTCCATCGTAGATTGAATCTACGACACTGAAATCCATCCCGAGTTTCCACGGCGTCCATTCTGTAATCCTGAATGAAAATGGTGCCGAAGCTTGTTATGTGTGATATTTATTGCAAAAGCATCATTATATAAGACGGGTGACTCGATGAATCGAGGTCCGTGTGTGTTGTTTGTCCACGACTACTATCTGAGTGCCTTTCATCAACCGTTCTATTCAAACCAGTACTGGTGATTCGTCGACTGCCCATTCTGTTCGCTGCTCGTGTCCCATACAATATCTTTCGTCTCTGGTTCAGTCTAACACCCTAATTGGTTCCTTCGATCCATCGACACATTCATACGCGGTGCCAGAATCAGCACTCTTTTAACTGATAGCAGCGAGTGGCCGTTACAATTGGCAATGTCAAGAATATCCTGGGCAATTAATATAGGTATCACTGCCAATGATAAGAATACCAAAATCACCCAGGTAACCAGTCAACCAAGAACACCAAGCACATCCGGGGTATTAATGAAAATACCAAGAGCACTGTGGCAATTGGAGTGGGTATCATTGGCAAAAACAAGAATATCAGGACTTCTCGGACAATCATTGCGGGTATCCATAGCAATGGTTTCTAAAAATATATTCCATTTTTCAGCTGTTTATTTCCGAAGAAAACACTTTTTTTTTGATTATCGATAATAAATCAACAAAAATACACAAATGCTAAGACAGTTTGATGAATAGAATTCGGTGAGGTTGGAAATGAGATTTATGCTTGAAATATCCAGTCTCCATGATGCCTCGATTTTCATCAATCGCCAGCTGAGGAACGGCATGTTCTCCTGTCTGTCTGTGTGTGTGCATATTTGTTTGCGTGTTTGCTGCTAGTGTGTTCTTCCGGAGGCCAATCCTGACATGTCTATGTTTGCCAGATGAGTTGAACAGTTCTTGTCCAGGATTCTGACACATGGTTCTCCCCATCCCTCTTCCAGCCATTTCCTTCCTTCTGCTGAGCCCCTCAACCTCTTCATTCCCAGCGTCCTTCGTTTCTCCTTCATTTCATTTACCGCTTCCTGTAATGCTATCCAGTTCTGGCACACGCAGACGCATACACAGATGATGCACATCAGAAATGGAGAGACGCATTTTATGTTGAGACACTGAAGAGTGGCACTAAATTTTGTGGAAAAAGCAATGTGAATGTCTTATCGGAGCTGAGTCGTCGCTTCTTTCAGTGTTGAAATTTTTTAATTCATTGTTTTCATTGAAGTATGGACATTCATTGTGCGACGCTTCTATCTGTTCATGGATTTGCGCAAAAAGCATTGCTACTTAAGTGATTATTTGCTTATTTTTCTAGAACTTCAACCTGTGAAACCCAGGTGTGCGTGAAAGTCGATTTTAAACCGTTTAAATAATACCAGAGGAACGCGTGAAAAATTCCAGCTTCCTAGCTTTTGTGAATGCCGAGCTGAATATGGGTGACAAAAATTCGAACACATGCACAAACCCTGACAACCGTTTTCCAATATGCGTCTTTGCATTTGCACAAATACATAGAAGAGGATAAAAAATTGCTGACAAAACATAAAAGTCGTGAAATATTAGAAAAAAAAAACAGCTGATAGCTTGTATAACCAAAACTCGCTTTATAAAAGGACCAATTTACACAAATAAACAATATTATGCTACTTGCTTTGGTCAATATTGTTTCATCGTCGCATTTGTTATTTTTCCTTACCACTAATCCAACTGACTTCCAATTGTATATAATCGTTCAGGCGGATCCCACCACTGCATTGGCTGCCTTCACATTATTTCAACACTGTGTGCTGTTTTTGTGCGCTAAAACATAGTGCTTTGTTAGCATGAATAATTACACGTGCTACTGCTTTTGTGTTATTGGTTTTACTTGTAACAAC